CAGTACATAAAAGGAATGAGTTTTTTCCTTTTTTCTATTTCCAGTAAATGTTTATTTCCTGGAAATTGATTAATGGATTAAAGAAAATAGAAAAAGTAATTTTTCCCTGTGGGTAAGATTCAAGAAATTAAGTGAAAGTTTTTTCCACTGCTAAAGAAAAAGTATATTCTCAAAGTTTTTCCAGTAAATGTTTATTTCCTGGAAATTGATTAATGAATTAAAGGAAATAGAAAAAGCAATTTTCCCTGTGGGTAAAATTCAAGAAAAAGAGAGTTTTTCCACAGCTAGAGAAATTATTGATTCTCCAGTTATTTTGAACCAATGTGGTATTTAATTGGAGAAAAAGAGGTTTGACATGATTATGATGTTGTTATTTTCTGACTAACGTTGTTAATAACAATATCATAATTTTAATGATTTATGCATTAATTCTACTTCTGCCCAACGGTGATGTAGAATTAGTGTATAAGAAGAGTTGTAAATTTTAATGATTTATGCATTAATTCTACTTCTGTCCAACGGTGATGTAGAATTAGTGTGTAAGAATAGTTGTGAAAGTTAAAGATTTATGCATTAATTCTATTTCTGCCCAACGGTGATGTAGAATTAGTGTATAAGAATAATTATATGTTTTGATTTTGACCAACGTTGGAATCAAGGCATGCAAATGGTGTTATTTTATGTTAAGAAAAGTTTTGACCTGGTTTTCATCTTGTCTAAAGTGGACTGGGTAGTCAACTCACCGTGTTCCACTGAGTTTGTGACACCGGTGAGGGAGACAAAAGAGAATGATGCCACTTAGGCAACTAAAGAGAGGGATTTTGAATCCCAAAAGATAGTCCTATGACTTTTGTGCATAGGAAGTGGGTCACTGCCAACAAGAAATGTTTGGATGTGATAAAGAATATGATTAAACCTGCAATTGTGGGCTCAATCCCAGAATATGACACGGTCACCGAATACCTCGATAGAATAAAGAGTCAGTTCACCGGCTCTTCAAAGACATATAAAGAGTCAGTTCACTGGCTTTTCAAAGATATGTCACTCAGCTGATGAAGCAGCTAGTGACATATTGTTAATCTGGAAGTGGTGGCATAAGAGAGTTCACGATGCGTTGTCAAAATTATGGCATTGTCGTTTAGGCCATATTTCGAGGGGGAGAATAGAAAGATAAGTTAAGAAGATATTCTTCCTCTATTAGAGCTCTCAGATTTAGTACAATGCAGAGAATGCATAAAAGAAAAGTATGTAAAGAAGATTAAGAAAGATGATAAACGAAGCGCATGAATTTTATAGATTATTCACACAGACATCTGTGGTCAGTTTCCTGTAAAGAGTGTGGATGGTAATGATTCGTTCATAACATTCACTGGTGATTACTCCTGTTATGTCTATATTTATCCAATCAAAGAAAGAACAGAAGCATTGGATAAATGTAGATATTTAAGGCGAAAGTTGAAATCCAACGTAATTTAAAGATAAAGATGGTCAGATCTGACTGTGGGGGAGTACTACGGTCGGCATACCCCATATGGCCAAAGTTCCTGGACCTTATGTAAGGTTCTTACAGGAGAATGACAAAGTAGCCCAGTATTCTATACCGGGCGAACCTCAGCAGAATAGAGTAGCTAAAAGAATCAATCGTACCCTGATGGATATGGTGGGTAGTATGATAAGTTACTCCACCTTACAGTTGAGCCTGTGGATGGAGGCGTTAAAAACCCCATTCATATTCTCAAAAGAGTACCAAGTAAGTCGGTGCCCAAAACGCCGTATGAGTTGTGGACAGAAAGAGTATCCTCACTAAACCACTTGCGTGTGTGGGGAGGAGCCCTGCTGAGGCTAAAGTATTTAACCCAAACATTGGGAAGTTATAGCCCAAAACAGTAAGTTGCCATTTGTTTGGCTACATAGAAAAGTCAAAAGGTTTTCGTTTCTACTGTCCAGAGAGACACAAAGTTTGTGAAAACGAGACACGTTGTTTTTCTAGAGGATGAAAAGATGAGGGGGAGCATGGTAGCTCGAGAAATTGACCTTGAAGTGAAGCGGGTGTATGCGCCCACTCCAATGATTCATGAGCCAATTTTCTCACTACATGCTGTCGTTGCACCGACAGTGCAAGATACTATGGTGTCAGCACCTGTTATTATTCCACCTATGGCAACAATGAATGAAAATGAGGAACCTATTCTTCAGGATCCAATAGAACCTATTGCCACACATGAGGGAGAGCAACAACAGCCTCAAACAGAAGATGTGCCAAATGTGGAGGCTCCTAGAAGATCTAAAAGAGTTAGTAAATCAGCTATTTCTGCTGATTATGAAGTGTACAACACTAAGAAATTTCAAATGGAGGTTGATTCCACCTTTTTTGAAGAAGCCATGAGAAGTGATCATTTATCAAAGTGGCTTGAGGCCATGGAAGATGAAATAAAATCAATGAATGCCAATAGTGTTTGGGACTTAGAAATAATTTCTAAAGGAGCCAAAACAGTAGGCTGTAAATGGGTCTACAAAACAAAGCTTGACTCTCAAGGGAATATAGAGAGATATAAAGCGCGACTTGTGGCAAAAGACTTTATGCAAAGAGAATGAATTGATTACAATGAGACCTTTTCTCTAGTCTCATGTAAAGTTTCCTTCAGAATCATAATGGCATTAATGACACATTACGATTTAGAATTATATCATATGGATGTAAATATGGCATTTCTCAACAGAGACTTAGAGGAAAATGTTTACATGGCACAACCGAAAGGTTTAGTCATGGAAGAAAAAGAACGAATGGGATGCCGCCTAAAGAAATCCATTTATGGATTAAAACAAGCTTCAAGACAGTGGTACTTGAAGTTTGATCAGACAATAAGGCACTTTGGGTTTTAAAGAAAATATAGAGGACAATTGTGTCTATACAAAGTTTAAGAATGAGAAGTTTATCTTCCTTGTCCTGTATGTGGATGATATCTTACTTGCTAGTAGTGATGCCAGTCTACAACTGGAGACAAAGAAGTTTTGTCCTCAAAATTTTGATATGAAAGATCTTGGTGAAGCCTCGTTCGTTCTAGGGATCGAGATTCATCGAGATAGAATAAAAAGGGGTATTAGGACTGTCACAAAAGGCATACATCGAAAGAATCTTAAAGAAATTCAGTATGCACAAATATAATCCCTCACCTGCTCCTATAGTCAAGGGCGACAGATATGGGGATTTTCAATGGCTCAGGAACCAATATGAGCTCAATCAAATGAAAGTGGTTCCATATGCTTCAGCTGTCGAAAGCTTACAACATGCTCAAGTATATACGCGCCCTGACTTGGCTTTTGTTACCGGGTTTTTACTTGGCAGATTCTAGAGCAATTCTAGAATAGAACACTGAAATTAGTAAAGAAAGTCTTGCATTATTTGCAAGGAACGAAATGCCTCGTGATGATATATAGAAGATCTGATTCATTCCACATAGTGGGATATTCAGATTCTGATTATGCGAGAGTGAATACATATCCAGACGTGGATTTTCTATCATCTCGCAAAGGGGAGCTATTTCATGAAAAAGCTCAAAGCAAACTGTCACTACATCGTCCACAATGTATGACGGTTTGTAGTGTGTTATGAGGCAACGGGCAGGTGAACTGACTAAAGAAGTTCATACCCAGTTTGAAGGTGGTTGACGACATCTATAGACCACTAAAGTTATACTGCGATTATAATCTGGCAGTACAGGATGCTCACAACATAAGTCAAGTGGTGCTGCCAAACACATTGACATATAGTATTATGTCGTGAGAGATAAAGTCCGGGATTATGTCATAAGTCTTGAGCATATAAGTACAGAAAAGATGCTCGCAGATTCGCTTACAAAAGGCTTACCACCCAACATGTTCAGAGAACATGTAGCTAGCATGGGTTTAAGGGAAAGCCTAAAATTACTGGACAAAAGAAGGCCCAAAGATAAGTATCTATTTCAGAACAGAGTAGTGTGTTGTAGCTGTTAAGTCTATCGGCAATAGACCGTGGCGATGAGACATGCTCTATGCGCTAATCTGTAATGGAATGAACAAAAGTAAATGATATGAAATTGAAAGATGAAATGAGATCAAGAGGAAGAATGTTAGTTGATCTCCACCAATAGGCCCAACGGCCTATTGTGCCCTTGTCTCTGCTCCCTGATCGGGGGAGCCCAACCCTAATACGGTTGGTGGGCCCCTGTCGCACAGCACACATAAAAGGAAGGTGGGGATCAAGGCTCGGTCTACGAGGTTCACTGGAGCCGCCATTCCACCCATAGAAAACCCTAATCCGATCCTAAAGAGGTGCTGCCAGCGACGGGATGTGTCCACCGACGACATCGTCGCCCACTGCAGGTCACCATCGGACCACTGCAGGGACACTAGACTTCACCTCCTCGCCACTACGACGTCTACCACACCACGGCATCGGCGTCCACGCTTGCCGATGCGCCTCAATAGAGAAAGGCGAGGAGCCTTCCCGGATCTCCGGTTACAGAGAGGTACACCATCGATCCTAACAATTATGCTAAACTGCTTGACTTAACTCTGTAGATATTTGTGTATATGATTTTTTAGAAAAAAAAATCATGGAGGAAGAGTGCCTTTTATGCATTCACATTATCACATGCAGTTGCAACTTGCAAGTGGTGATTGATTTGTAAGCAACTCGGCAATTGTCGCATAAATAAGCATATATACATACATTATACAATGTAAATGCTGAATTGCTGATGCAGTTGCTGTATGGACTTTTTCTGGTTCAAACCTTAGCCAGGCACATGCTAAATGTTCTAATGTTTAGATGACTGGCTCAAATTCGCATAATAAAATTTATACATGTGAACTGTTTGTTGTGTGATATTAGAATGAATGCCACATCCACATAACATTTCAAGTACATTAATCAACAGCACATATATTTGGATGCTGCACAAGCAAAGCTGCAGCAAAACTAGCACATGACCATCTAATCATTTGCATGTCATACCAAAATGGATTCTAACATTCCTGATTTATTTTACATCAGACTGGTCCCACCCCTGCTCTTATCAAGGCTGAAGTCCCATGGTCAGTCCGGAGAGGAAATCTCTCGGAAAAGGAGAGAGTTTTGAAAGGGTACTGTTTGATTTCAGACCTTTTTTTTTACCTTTCTCGTACTTGTATCAATATTTTGTTTTCTATACTATTGTGTTCAGAAGTCAAATTTGTTTGGGTTTCTTTCAAAAAAAATATTTATTCATGTCACAGAATACTGAACAAATTGACGCCAGAGAAGTTTGACCTTCTGAAGGGCCAATTGATAGAAGCAGGAATTACTACAGCTGATATTTTGAAGGTTTGTTTATTTCTAGTTCTTTATTCTGCTGGCTTTATTGTTATCAGTTCCTTGTGATTGACCTCTTTTCTCCCGTGTCTGTTCAGGATGTTATTACTCTCATATTTGAGAAGGCTGTACTTGAGCCCATATTCTGTCAGATGTATGCTCAGCTATGCTTTGAACTCAATGAAAGCCTCCCATCATTTCCTTCTGAAGAGCCTGGTGGTAGAGACATTACATTCAAACGTGTACTGTTGAACAATTGTCAAGAGGCATTTGAAGGTGCTGGCAACCTACGGGCTGAGGTAGCGAAATTGACTGGTCCAGACCAAGAGATGGAGAAACGTGATAAAGAAAGGCTTGTGAAGCTTCGAACACTTGGAAACATTCGCCTTATCGGCGTCTGCTGAAGCAAAAAATGGTGACAGAGAAGATAGTACATCACATTGTTCAGGTACTTACTTATGTAATCCTTTGTACTCTTCAGCTGGGTAGTTATAACTGGGTCTGAAGTGATCCATTTTTCCCCCAATCCATCTGTGGGAATAGACTTCTAGACTGGAACGCCTTTCTCCACATACATTGTGTTTTATCACTGTCAAATATTTTCTAATTCATTTGCTGTAAGTAGGAGCTGCTGGGTTCTGATAGCAATTCATGCCCTTCTGAGGAAAATGTCGAGGCCATCTGTCAGTTTTTCAACACAATTGGTAAACAGTTGGATGAGAACCCAAAGTCTCGTCGATTTAACGATGTCTACTTCAACCGTCTAAAGGAGCTTACAACTAATACTCAATTGGCACCACGTTTGAGGTTCATGGCACGCGATGTCCTTGAACTCCGTTCAAACAACTGGGTGCCTCGACGTGAGGAGGTAAATGTCTCAGCTTCGATCTTGAAATGTATTTGCATTAGTGTTCTGTGTGCCAGCATCTACTATACACTAGTGTCTTGTAAAATAAAGGGAATAAAACATACATTGCAAGTTGAAGATACATGTTCCACATGCTGATAGTTGACCATGACACTAGTCTATTTCAGTGCGATATGCCTTTCTCCATGAACCAGCGCTTGCTATTCTTACGCACAAACTGGGTTGAATTTTCCAGTATTCACTGACTCTGATATGTTGTTATTTCTTTCTCAGATAAAAGCCAAGAAAATCAGTGAAATTCATAGAGGCAGAAATGAAACTTGGATTGCGACCTGGGTCGACCACAAACATGAGGAATGGACGAACTGGTACTGGAGGGCCACTCTCACCTGGAGTTTTCCCAATGAATGGACCTGGAACTGGTGGCATGATGCCTGGCATGCCTGGAGCGAGAAAGATGCCTGGAATGCCTGGGTTAGATGATGATAATTGGGAAGTTCCACGTTCTAAATCCAGAACTGACTCATTCCGCAGCCACACACAGCTGGTGAATAAACCATCGTCTGTCAATTCTAAACTACTTCCTCAAGGCAGTGCAGCACTAATTAGTGGGAAGACAAGTGCACTTGTGGGCAGTGGTGGTCCAATATCCTGCCCTTCAAGTTATTCTCCTGGACTTGCACCAGCTCCATCTGTAGCTCCTGTAGTTGTGAAGCCAGCTGCTGCTCCCAAGTCAAACTCTGCTGGTCTAGAAAAGAAGACCATCTCTCTTCTTGAGGAATATTTTCACGTCTGTATTCTAGATGAAGCACATCAGTGCATTGAGGAGCTCAAGAGTCCTCATTACTACCCAGAAGTTGTTAAAGAGGCCATCAATCTTGCTCTTGACAAAGGTGCCAGTTCCATCGATCCTCTTGTTAGGCTACTGGAATACCTTCACAGCAAGAATACTTTCAAGACGGCAGACTTGGAAACTGGATGCTTGCTTTATGGGTCTCTTCTGGATGATCTTGCTATCGACCTTCCGAAAGCTCCAGCACACTTTGGTGAAGTTATTGGGCGGCTAATCATGTCACGTTGTCTGGGTATTGGAGTTCTTGAGGATACTCTAAAGAAAATGGAGGATACCTTCTTCCGCTCAGCGGTTTTCAAAGCTGCAGTGAAGACCATTGGGGCAAATCCATCGGGTCAGGCAATCTTGAGCTCACATGTTACTGAAATGGATGCTTGCAACAATCTTTTATCCTTGAAATAAATGGCATAAAACTTATCCCAGATAGTTGTTCATCTAGTTTTTCCCTCGAGGAAATTACAATGCTGCAGTATTGACAAACAGCCATTTGTGAGCTGTATATTTTTTTAGAAATATGTGAGCTTATTGTTTGGACAGTGACGAAATGAAACAAGGAAAGCCACAAATTTTGCTCGCTTGTAACGGTAGGTCAATTTTTTACTTCTGTTGATGTTATTACTATTTTTTTTTGTGCTCCCATATTGTGTAACCTGTATTCTATTTTTGGGAAGTATTCTTTGGGATACAGCTACGTTGAGTACGTGAAATGTTGACATGGTACACTACGATTCTTTAGCCCGTCTGACGTCAGTATAGAGGAAAGTCTTCCACAAAGTAAAGCTAGAGTAAGTGGCGTAAGATAAGATAGATGTTCACTTTCATCGACCAATGTACCTGAAATTCCTATACGTAAAGTCGAGAGCTAGAGAGAGTAAACGAGACGTTCAAAGGGTGAAGCTAACGCTTCCCTGGCCACTAGGGACTCATCAAAGTCTGAGTTCATACACTTACTAGCTAATACTGGATCGTCAAAGATCTGATTCTATTTAATAATACCTTCTGTCTCTCTCCTAAGGGATCCAATCAGAAGGAATTCCCTCACTTCGCTCATGATAGTCGGTCGAGTTCCCTTTTCCATTTTAGTTGAGTTTCGCCTCTCCTCCTTTCCTTGTCTCTATTCTGATTGATTCGCTTCTTGGCATAAAGCACTTGGTTCGCCCCTTACTATAACCATCCCACTCAATCTTTTACACCGATGTTTCGTACTCTCTCAACCAGGTCATCATAAGAAAATACTGCCAAATCTTTCCGAAATGAGAGAGGAGGAGGGAAGCGGCGCTACAACTGTCTCGCTGAAAACGCAAGATTAGCGCTAAGAAGCAACCCTAGTTTAAGTACTAGCGTCCCAACCCAACGTTCTTGTACTTAAAAGACTCTCCCCGCTTGTTGCTCATTTCTCCTCACCAGACGTGGCTTATGTAGTGGTCGGCATTCCCACGTGTTCGGACCGATCCCCACCGGAGATTATATGAGGGTCTTTGAAATTGTCGTGGACGCTTTGGTGACGAAGGTCACCGGGGTGACTATGGAAGGATTCCGTGGTAGTCTCTCGATTCCTCCAACTCAATCAATATCAAGAACATGTCGTTAGCATGGGGTTTGGTCCAACTGAGTTGCCATAACTTTCATTGTGATTTAGTTTAGAATTAAATATAGTTGAAAGTTTTGTTTGGCAAGAGGCGTAAGTCTTTGGTTCCGCTTTGTTAATAAACGTGCCTCTCTTTGCTTTCTCACTTTCCCGTAACTGCTACTTTCCTGCTTTTAGTACATTGCTTTTCAGATCATCTATGAGAATTCTCGTTTCCTCCTCAATATTGTCGTTTCGGTAGAGCTATCGACATTGAGACCGTAACGCTTAACAAAAGCGGGCATTGTGCGTTGTTTGCATTTGAATCGAAATCAAAGCTACTACTAATACACTCAAGCTAGGGAATAGAAGAAGCGACTTACTAATAGAATAAGGCACCGGAGTTTAGGCGGTAGTTCCGAAGAGGGTTAATGATGAATTGAGTAGAGTGGCTTGTCTTTTGGATTTCTTTGATCTCGTGCATTTGCAACGCGGTGCTCGTAATTTCCCCAAGATGTTGATATGGCTTGGAGGTCTAACGGACTTTCATCCTTCGACTCCTATAGGCGGCTTCGCTATCGCTCCTTAATAGATAAGGATTATGCCATAAAATACATAATACGGGTCTGGTGTAGGCTGCAGAAGTGAGATCACGTCGGTGGGTCCGTATGCGGATTGATTGACTGCCTGCCTGATAGAGTGAACGATTTGGTACGTGATAACGTTGTAAAGTCGATATCTCACCTATGAATAGAGGGTTGGCTAGCATCTCACCTCAAAAAAGAGAAAGTTGTCTCACCATATCATATGCTCGTTTTCGAAATCCAGTGTTATGCTCTCTTCTTTGCTTACACCTGTTACGCACCTCTTGTGCAGTGACAACACTACCCGGGAGTTTCTCTTAGCTGTCTGGGACTTACTCTCCTATCCCCCACTGGTACTAGTCTATTGGCCAACACTTTAGTAATGATCTTGGACAATAAGGAAGGTTGATTGGTCTATACTTTGATTCTGTTAATGGAGTATTGTAGAAGAGTTCTCCCAACCCAAGTATCTTTAGTTTCAGTTCTCTCTCTCTTTTTGACCTGCTACTCTGCTGTTGTTTTGGCCCTTCAAGGGAGTTTCTCTTCGGGCAAGGGTTGTTGAATTTTCTGAATTAAGTAAGTAGAGCAGTTAGGTTGAGCCTTGCGAGCTATATGGGAGAGAACATAGCCTTTTGTCTTGGAATAATAAGTACAAAAAGGAAAAATCTCAATATGACAATCTGAATTACTTTATGCAATAACATCAAGTTGTTCTGTCCTTTGACTTATCGTTCATCTCGCTTTGTTCGCTGTACTTCTCTATCGAAAGATAAGGGTTCATCGAAGAAAGGGAAGGGAACTATCCGCTCTTGTCCTTCAATGAAAGCAAGCAGACCTATATATATATATATGTGTGTGTGTGTGTGTGTGTGTGTGTGTGTGTGTGTGTGTGTGTGTGTGTGTGTGTGTGTGTGTGTGTGTGTGTGTGAAAGAAAGAGATGGTTTCTTGCTCGGTTAAAGGAATATCACTATCCCTCGTCCTAGGGTTTTCCTGCTTGATTCTCTTTCCTGTGAGAGATGCCCACTTTATTAACTCCTAACTCTCAAAAGGGCGATGATGAATTTTCAATCATTTCGCAAGATTAAACATCTGCGAAAGTCATCTTGAAGCTCTGACTCTCGAGAGAAAGTCTTGCCTTTGGCGGGAGGACTCCTTCTGACTGCAGCTTGAAGGGGAAAAGCCACTGATACACTGGTGGAAGTCTTTTTCCCATGGCAGTATAGCATGATTGCAACGACGCTAGACCGCTCATCATTCTTTAGAGTCTCCTTAGATTTTTCGACATCCAGATCATTGTCAACGGCATTGGGCCGTTCATAAACTTCTTCGGATACCCAATCTCTATCAGTTCTTCTATTGGCTTTGGGCCAATCGTCGTCATATGGCGTTTCAGGATGACATCCGCTAATGAGATCCGGCGTTTCAAGAAGGGAGGAGGCAGGATCATTGAAGGGCTCCTCTCCTCTTCTTGCGCCCGCTATCCTATCAACAGTCAGTCAATAAATATATGTAGTGGAGAAAGAAGAGTAGCCCCCTGTGTCATCAATTAGTAATAGAATAATCCCAGAGTAGTCCTCTTGCCAGCTTAAGTCAGCCTTAATGGATGGACCAAAGATTGGACATCGTTGTCTAAGCGTGCTTGCTTTGCACACCGCACGGTGAATGAGAATCATTGGCTCAGATTGAGTGGCTCACTTCCTTGAGAAGGGCTTTCTATAACTAAGAAATGAGAATTGTTGACCCATATGATCTCAGGCTCATAAAGAGGATGAAACTGATAATTTAATTCACACTTTGAGATTGAGCTCGTCAGTGATTTTTTCCAAGGTGTGTAGAGAAACCTGCTTTGAACATGACATTCGTACCCAAGGAAAGTTTTGGCAGGAGAAGCTGGCTCCTCGAATGGTAGCCGCTCACTTCTTTTAATTAAATCAACTAATTTCTACTTTCCTTTGCCGTCAAACAATGCTAGGGTTTGCCTTGAACTCGGTTAACAAGGGTTTTCCCTGAAGTAGGAATACTAGGGCTGTCCTTCAATCGGATAAGGAGCAGGTTATAAACAAGAAGGGAAGTAGTGCCTCGCATGTCCCTTTTGAAATCATTGATGTCCGGCGAGCGCCCCACTTCCTTTTTTTCTAAAGAACATAGTAGGGTCATAAACAACCAGTTTGCTTCGTTGAATTGCTTTCCAAATAGTTCGGGGTGCGTGCCTATACTCTAGTGCTTACCTAATAATGTCCTACTTTCTTGAATTCAGGAAGATACTGACATGGAACTGAACTTCACTTTCTATACGATACGATTTGATTTTATTTGAAATACTAGCTCTAGTTTGATCAACAGGTCTAGGTACTCTCGCTTGATTCATTCCACTAGGTTCTATGAACTTAGGAACTCCGAACTCATGCTTTATTGAATTCCGTAGAACAAACACAAACTACTTTAAGTGTGGGGCTGCCTCGAGAATAGCCAACTTCTCATTCAAAGTATGCAATTTCTATTTTATCTAGCCCAAAAAGAGCTTTTTCAAAGCATACTCTTTTCTTATGAGCTCCATGGGTCTGATATCCACAAGCGAACCATTTTGATTACTTCTTATCAACTAGACCCTTCGGGGACTCCAATGCCTTTTTCAAAATCCGATTTAGCGGTTTCAAGTTCGGAAGGTGGATCTGACGAAACAACTTTCAGTGCCTTTCGGTTCTTTTGGTTCAAAACTAGCATTTTTGCCAACGGATAAAGAATTTGATGCCCCTGGATTTATGGATGGACCTACTTATCATTCCAAGTAAGGGGGAAGCAAAAGTTTAGAGATGGGATGCTGATATGAAACCAGCTATCTTTCCACTTCTATCGCTTCCTAATAGGGCTGGGTTGTGGGATGAATAATCGTATCCCCCTGAGAAAGCTCTTTAACAGAGCTGGACGAAGGAAGCCTGCACCTTCCCACTTATCCGGACAAGGCAACAACTGCTTTTCGTGTTGACCCAGAGGAGCATGCACGGGAGTCGACCGGACTAGAACCGCTTTCTTTTCGGCCGAAGTACCGCTTTAAGAATACAGTAGTGGAAGCCCTGTGAAGACTTCTTCTCGATCAAAACTCGTAGAGAAATCAGAACAGTTGAAGGAAGGGACACCCCTTATAATTGAATTCACTTTATTTTCTTCCCAATTCCTAGAATCCTGCTTGTTTTAAAAGATAAAGCCTACTATTTGAATAGTTGGTTTGAGTATTTGTTTCAATAGTTGA